TGATGAGGAAGGCTCGAGTTTTGTAAACAAAGCATTGGAGAGAGTATTGTTCGAGGTCAAAGAACTCAACTTATCATCCTAATTGGTCGCTAGGTATAATTCCTATTCGAGTTCTTAATTAATAAATTAATGTGATTAATTTATTCGTGCATAAATTAATATAATTTATAGAATATCTCAAAAATTTTATAAAAATTTTTGTTATACACGATCCTCTCACTCACATGCTTCCGCAGCCGAATTCAATTCGGAAACCAATAAGAATCTGTACTCAAATTATTATATATACTAAAGGGGGGCCAGATATCCACCGCCGTAAATAAGCAATAACAGTATCACACGTAGTAATTCAAAACTCAGTGGACAAAATCTGGCAAAGAAATCTGTAATTAAATAAATTAGTAGAAGTAGTATAAGATTAAAGTCAGGAAAGGGTAAAAAAGCCAAAGGATAATCAGTTCAGAGGAGGAAGAAAATCAAAAAAGGGAAAAAACACAACCATTTTTTTTTTTTGTGTGCAAATTTTCTACATTTCAGACAATAAAAGGGGAAAAAATCACCAACTCATTTAATGCTTCTGCAACAAAGACGATATAGATCATCAAGGCAAGAGTACAAATCAGCATCCTAAGTACCACAAATCATCACTATAGATCACCGAATCAGTAAATGCAAAGGGAATTGATTTAGCCGAAACTCATATACAAAATCAGCTGGCATAAAAATCTTGAGAGAAAAGAAAAAATATGGCACTCACCTATAGAAATTAGCCACCGAAAAGACCCAACCATATAAGTCTCTCTGCACAAACAAATAAGCTGATGCTAGAAACAAAGCAGTTATAGAAAATTCAAGAATCATCAGTAGAAGGAAAAAGTTGCAAAATACAAAATAACAATAGATTTTAAACTGTAATGCTCTCAACGTTAAACCGGTTTAAGGCCGAATTTAGCGAGGTCGTGCTACTTAAAACATACTATATGTACTTAAAACATACTTTATATACTTAAAACAATGTCATTTTTAAGATACGAAAACTTGTGGTTGATTTCATCACAATATTTTCGTAAAGGTTTTTGAACAAAATGAGTCAGTGCGTAAAATGATTACAACCACAAATCTTAGACATTAAACAGTTATTCAAAACTGACATACTAATGAAAAAAAAAAAACATTTTAGGCCCATCTACTATTTGGAAGTACATATAAGCAAGATGCCAGATGTAGGACTTGGAGTACTCAGCCAACCTTGAAAATTATTTTTTTTTACTCTTCGGTAACAACATTGATAAGTGAGTTTTGACTCACTCATTTAATGTCCTGAAATTGGATAATTTACAATATCTTCAAGTTTTTAGGTTGTTTTAATATGGTTGGGAGTGATTCAGGTAAGCAAAGAAAAATTGAATCACTTGGAAGAAAAGGAGATGAAAATCAAGAAAACATCAAAAAGTGCAGAGGCGCGGGCACGCTCTCATGCCGCACGCCTATGCGCCCACATCAGTGAAGCCAAGTCAGAATGGGGCGTGTGCCCGCGCGTCCGAAGCTGTGCGTCCGTACCCTGGTCCCCAGCGAGTGCCCCACTCACGGCAGTGCGCGCCTGCGCGTCCCAGTCACAGCAGCGCGCGCCCGTGCATCCTGCTCACGCCAGCGCGCTCTCAGGCAGGTTCTCGCGTACTGAGGTGCCTAAAAAGTAAAACCTGAGGGATTATTTTTTGGGGGGAGAATTTGGCTGGGCCTGGGGAAAAAGAGAGAAGTTAGGGTTTGGTGAAAGGAGCGAAGACAAAGAAGAAAAACCCTAGTTTTTGGAGAATCAGAGGAGGAAGCTCTTGGAGATTGGAAGCTGCACTACACTGAGTTTTAATTTTCTTCCTCTTTCCTTCTCTTGTTCTTAAACCTAGTATTTTCTCTATTTTTATGGATTCAACATGTACTTTCAGATTTGTTTAATTTTGAATATGCTTGAGTTTACATTGATGGGTTGCTAGATTTTTATGCTAGGGGACTTGATGTAACCTTGCTACGATTATGCTATGAATATTTGTTTTTCATGCCCAAACATTTGGGCTCTTCTTTGCTTAATGCTTTATCAATTGAAAGATTGATTAGAAGATTTAGATATGTGGATTTAGGCTTGAGAGAGTCACTTGCACATGTTGGGATTTGTTGAGCACAGCCTAGTGAGTATTGGAATCGGGAGATGAATATGAGCTAGGTAATCACAAATGAATTAGAGCTTAATGAATGCACAATTAACTTAATTAATAGGGATATTAATTAGGTGATTTTACATATTTTTGACTCGGCACTCGAGAGAGGGAGTTGGATTATTTTAGAAAATTCATGATTAATATTTGGCTTAAGGGAAATCAATAGCATTAAAAAAGGATTAGAATAACTAGGCAAGGTAAAATCAAGGTCCCTAGCTACCTTATCATTAGAGCCCCCTTCGATGCCAAAAAAGTTGTTGCATTGTTTTATTTGCTTATTTAATTAGTTTAGCATTTTATTCTTATTTTGATTGTTCTCATTCTTATGTTGGACTTGTCTGGATAAAACTAGGTTATTCTAGTTGCAGTACTTAGCTAGATTTTAGGAACACAATCCTCGTGGGACACGACACTCACTTACTACTTTATTACTTGTCGACCTCGTGCACTTGCGAGTAGAAAATAGGTGTTATTTTCGCAGCGATCAAGCATCATCTGCATCACAAGGTAAAACTAATAAACAAAAACTCAGTAAGTAGATTTCAAATAAAGTGTCTAAAATCTCCATGGCTGAAATCTCTTTGTTAAACATTGTTCATAAAATTTCATACTTATTCTTAGTTTATGTATGATACAGAACTTCGATTCTAGGTAAGCCTCTCTATACAGGACCTTTTCTAATTTTGACCAATTCACTTCTCTTAAACACTAAGCAATCTCTTTCTCTTGTGATAAACAAAAGTCTTCCCACTAGAATTTTTCTCTAGTTGTCTCAAAGAGGCAGTTACTCTAATTTGGGGCACCGGTCCTTCGCACCCCTGCTTACCCAGCCTCTCATCCATATACCATACCATAAAATCACTTAAAACAAAAAAACATAATAAGTAAATATCATAATCCCTTTCAAAATAATTAATCATGAATACTCTTTGAACATAATCATGTAAGAATTTAATAAGAGAATAAACTTGCATAATCACAATTCTGAACAAGTTATTTCGTCAAATAGGTCTTGTGATGCAGTTTTAAAAATGCTTTAACTATACTTTCTTGAATTTCGATCACCACTATGCAAACACAAACTAGCTGGTTATGGAGAGCCGTCAATGTGGTAATTAACATTTAAAAACCATAGCTTTCAAAAATCACATTCATATAATCATTTAACAAAACATATAATTGCGCATTGTTATGAAAATATTCATAACAAATTCATCAAAACTCAAAATATTATGCACCTATGGCAAATAAAAGTAGACTTAAAACCCAATTTTTAGAGCTACTACATGATAGGTTTCAGATTTTTTAAACTAACCAAAAACAGCCTGAAATCCGGATTGAAGTATCATCTCGTCAGGAAAATGACAACTTTTTAGCTGAACTTATAAAATTCATAACTAAATGTAGAAAAATCCGTTGAGAGTGATTCAAAACACTCACGTAAAGCTTAGGATGTATAATTTAATAAAAAAAATATAAGATCATTCAAAATCATAAGTATATATAGCACAAAAACAGAATCTACATAGACTGTACAGAGGACTTATATTTGAACATTTCATCAAATACCTAGCATGCAAGCATGCAAATCTTAATCTTCAAAGGCCACTCTTAAATACATGAATCATCATCCTAATAAGAGTTTATCTTCAAATAATCATCAATAATATCAAGCTAAAATAATTAATTTCACCCAGAAACCAATATTTGAACCAAAATCTCAAGAAACTCATTTTTAAAGGTCTACACCAACATGCATGATAAGCAACATCAAAAATCCGAATCTCAAGTAGGGTTTCAACATCAACATCTCTAAAATCTTAGTTTCTAACATAAGAAAGAAGTTACCTCAAAGAAAAACGTGTTCCCAAGTGAATAGAAGCTCAAAATCTTGATGGTTATTTTTGGTTCTAGGTTGAAAAACGAGTTGAAATGGGTTGGTTGAGTTTTTAGCTCATTCCCTCTTGAAAACCTAGATTTGATTCTGAGTTTTGGGTGAGAAAAGGAGTGAGAAGAGAGAAGAAAATGTTATGGTTGGAGTTCTAGGCTTTTTTTTGTTGCTAAAATAGACCGAAAAATGAAGTCCAAACATGATAGAAACCAAGCAAAAGTAAATTGGCCTTATAGTAGGACAAGTGTCTAGGTTTTTCTAAGTCTCTAATAGCTGTTCTAACCTCATAAAATCAGCTCTAAAGTCTTTATTTTTCTTCTTCAATTAGATGCCTAAAGTTCACTCAATTTGCTAACATAGCATTCTCTCACAAAAACTCAAAGTAAAAACTAAGTCCTCAACACATTTATATAAAACCGTGTAATAAAAATATAAAATAATAATTCATTATTAAATCAATCATAATAGAGGTAAAATATCATATCAAATAGTCATAATAAATATCATTTTTTGTTCATAAGTTTAGCACATTGAGTTCCCACATCGAGTTAGTTGCACTGCACATTAAAACTGAAAACTTGATTAGAAAAGCTATAAGTTTAATAAAATCTTATGATAGTTATAATAATAAAATATAGTACCAAGAAATAACTTTGAGATAAATGGTAAATGTGGTGCATTATTTTAATTTACTAAATTTATTTATTATTGGCTTAAGGATTAATTAAATCTCGGGTATTACATTTCTCTCATCCTTAACAAATTTCGTCCTCAAAATTTAGCTTACCAAAATGTTCTGGATACTTAATCTTCATCTCATCCTCTTTTTCCCAAGTAGCTTCCTTGACTAATTGATTTCTCCAAAGAACTTTGACCAAATGAATGCTTTTGTTTCTTAATTACTTATGTCTTCTATCAAGAATCTGAACTGGTTTTTCTTCGTATGACAAATTTGGTTTCAGCTCCAAAGCTTCATACTTCAAAACATGAGATGGATCAGCTATATACTTACGGAGCATAGAAACATGAAATGTATCATGAATACTAGACAATGGTGGTGGAAGAGCTAACTCATAAGCAAGTTTTCCTACTCTTTTCAAAATCTCAAAAGGCCTTATATACCTAGGACTGAGCTTTCCTTTCTGTCCAAATCTCATAACTCCCTTCATTGGAGCAACTTTAAGAAAGACCTTGTCACCAACTTCAAATTCAATATCTTTTGTATGCTTATCGGCACAACTCTTTTGTTGACTTTGAGCTGCTTTCATCCTTTTTTGAATCTTGTCAATAGCATCAACTGTTTTCTGAACCAATTCTGGACCTAAGATTTTTCTTTCTCCAACCTCATTCCAATGAATTGGTGATCTGCACTTCCTA